CTTCAAAATACAAATTTAAGTATTTTTTTCTTTTGTTTAGTAGTTCACATTAAATCAGAAGAGAAATAATATGAACATGAAAACAATTTTCCCGCACTTTATGGGAAATGTTGATAACTGATCGGTTTATCATTCCTTTTCCAAAGACAAAAGCAAATTCTAGTTGTGAAAATTTTAGGAAAAATTTTCTCTTTATTTCAGGTTTCATTACCTGAAGTTGAGTTTTCGTTTTTTTGTATTTTTTGTTTTTTTGTTTTTTGCAGATGACGACTGTGGGGACGGGAGTGATGAGGAGGGCTGTGTTCACTCTTGCTCTGGTAATCAGTTCAGATGTTCCAGTGGCAGATGCATCCCTGGCCATTGGGCCTGTGATGGTGACAATGACTGTGGAGACTTCAGTGACGAAACCCAAATCAATTGTACCAAAGAAGGTAGGCCATTTTATAAATCTATGAAATCTCAGAGTGAATATTATATAAAAATGAGTTGTTCATTAGATAAAATAAGTAGCTGAATGGAGTAATTAGCTGATCCTGATCTCTTTACTTTTCTCTTTGCCTTTATTTCCTTTCGTCCTCATACCTCATTGCCCCTTGATACCCTCTGTTATCTTTGCTTTGCAAATTTTATTAAATGTTTTACTTACTACTATTGTAATCTTCTTTAAACCCATAACCATACCAAAGGTCAAAGAAAGAACAGGAAAGGTATAATTTTACTTTTATTTTTATACAAAAGTTGTTTCTTTAAGGTTTGGAATAATCCCTTATTAAAGGTGATATATTTCCAACTGATTGATTTTCTAGAATGCAGGCAAAGAGAAGATCATGACCAGGGCTCTCAGTGTGTGTTGAGGACGATAACTCTGTCATTCGCATAAGTTACTTTGCAAAATTTGATCAGCCATAGGGCATGTCAGTAAGTTAGAAATCACACTGGAAATATCTTCAGAAAAAAATCATTAACCTTTCAAACAGTTATACAATCATACCATTTTTAACAGAAATTCTTCTTCTAAGAAATTGAAAGATATTATTATTAATATTTATTCTTTCAGTTACTCCACAAAAATTATTGAAGACTATGAAAAAGGATGAAATAGATGGTCCCTGATCAACATAAATATCTAGCTTGCAAACAAACAAAATAATTTATATAGTGGTGGTGGAACGGGAGAAATCATATACTCTGTGATCATAAGAAAGAGATACATTTGTCTTCCAAATTGTTTTCTCTAACATAGATTCCTTTTGTCTTTCCTTGGCTCTCTCTCTTTTTCTCAGGGATAAGTTCTAGAAAGATAGGCTAATAAAGAAATTATCTATAGAACACTAGGTTTTTAAAAGAATAACCTTGGCTTTTTTGTAAATTCTCTAAATTATTTTTTAGGAAACATGTTGTTTGATTTTGATTTTACCTGTGGTAACTTGGATTTTAAGAGTTATAGAAAAGATCTAAATATGGGATTAACCATGAGAACCTGTATTTCATTGCCTTCATAGTTTGCAGGCCATTGTCATTAATCTGGCATAGAAAAATAAATATTTTTTGTGTGTGTGTGTACGTATGACTTTTTCATTTTTGTTAATATTTGTAACATTTATCTCAGGGGAAGGTGGTTGAAATTGTCATTACTACATAACACTTTGACTATAAACTTCATTTTCCCCTCCTGGCAGATGTCTCTTTAGGCCTCTCATGGGGCGTGCATCTGTGGTCTGCTGGCACTGCCCGATAATATGCTGTGAATGATGAATTGCCCTAAAGTTAATTTATTCTCATCTGAGATGTGAGAGCCTATCCCTTCTAAGTTAAAATGATCATTGCACATTAAGAAGTTTTGAAAAGATTGCTTTAGCCTCATGGGTGTCCAAATTGAGTGGCTCACACTATTGTGAGCCCTGTAG